TTTACTAATATAGACAAATATTCATTTCTGTAATGAATGGCATTAAGAGTCATAAAAAGTTTTAACTGTGAAACACTAATTCAGGATTTTATAAGAATACTGCTTTTTAAAAATTAATCTTGGGATGCCTGGGTGGCTCTGTCAGTTGAGCGTCCAACTCTTAGTTTCAGCTCGAGTCATGGTCCCAAGGCCGTGGGATCAAGCCCTGCGTCATGTCCACACGAAGCATGGAGTCGGCTTGTGATTCATATGCTCCCTCACTCTCTCTCAAGAATCAACATTAAAAAAAATAGTAAAACAAATAAAAAAATTAATCTTAAGGGACACGATTTAAAGTATAGAAGAGAAATACAGGATTACAGAATTTTGAGCCATTTTCCACTACTACCATGACATCTAAGAAAAATATAAAAACCAATTTTTAAACTTCATATAGTTTTATTATTCTACTGGGAACAGCATTGAAGAGCTCTAATTTCCTATCTACACCATATAGAAAGGTAGTTAAGGACCCGAGAAGGAATCTAGCATTAAGCAACTAATATATTTATGATCATCCAATTTGAAGATTTTAAAGTCTTCAAATACATGTGTCATTATCAAGCAGGACTGAACATTCCCAGGAGGAAAGAAGAAAGGGACTAAAAAAAAAAAAAAATCAACTCACCAGTCTTTCTCAGTTTTAGACATGAAAGAATTTACATGCTAAATCGAACAACTATGAATACTAAAGTTTCCCCTGTATAATATAAAATGTACCTTGGGGTGCCCGGGGGACTCAGTCGGCTAAGCATCTGACTTTGGCTCAGGTCATGATCGCATGGTTCCTGAGCTTGAGCCCCAAGTGTCAGGCTCTGTGCTGACAGCTCAGAGCCTGAAGCCTGCTTCAGATTCTGTGTCTCCCTCTCTCTCTCTGCCCTTCCCCCGCTCATGCTCCATCTCTCTCAAAAATAAATAAATATGGTTTTAAAAATGTATCTACTGTCGGAAATCTTCAAAGAAGTAAAAATCATCTCCTACAAAGAATTTTGCATACTCTCTTGGCAACCTTTCCTGCCTTATGATTCTGTCATGACAAAGAGTTCATATTAGACAAAAATTTATACATTTTGAGTTCATTCATTTGGTATGTGTGTATGTGTCTATTCTATGCAGATTCTATTAAAAAAAAGAGTGGCACCTGGGTGGCTCAGCTGGTTAAGCGTCCAGCTTGATTTTGGCTCAGGTTATTCAAGCTCTGTGTCAGGTTTGACACTGACAGCACAGAGGCTGCTTAGGATTCTCTGTCTCTGTCTCTCTCTCTCTCTCAAAATACATAAACAGTTGAACACTTTAAAAAAAAAAGGTAAATCAGAATGCAGAAAACATATTTTATATATTTTTTCTTTCAGAGTGTGGAAGCTTAAGTGGCACCTGGGTGGCTCAGGCAGTTAAGCATCTTGATTTGGGCTCAGGTCGTCATCTCGCAAGCCGGTTTGTGAGTCTGAGCTACGCGTCGAGCTCTGTGCTGACAATGAAGAGCCTGTTTGGGATTCTCCCTGTCTCTCCCCTCTCTCCCTGTCCCTACCCTGCTTGCTCTCTCTCTCAAAATAAATAAATAAGCTCAAAAACAAAAAACAAATTCAGTGTTGCAGCTTCAAATTTAGTTTTTCATTTCACGGATAAAGAACCTTATTTACATCACCAGAAATTTTATTTAATGAAAAGAATAAAAGTTTATTTCCTCTCTTTCTACTCCAAAAGACCTAAAATATACCAAGATTATACCACACAGTAGGTTACCTTAGAAACCCCAAGAAAGACAATAACCAAAAAGTGAAAATTCACAATCAACCTGGTATGGACTAAAACAGATTTCACTTTGTATTCCTTAGAAACACAGGTTTTGCTAAACTAAATCTAGGATATCACCTTTATTAAACTGAAAGGCAAGGGCAAAATTTCTTTTGGTTCTTCGCAGAAATCAGCTGTAAGTCATTCAGAAGAGTCTAAGCATTTTTTGGTTGTTACCTGGCTTTTTTTTTCTTAACTTGCACTTAAAATATCCCCTCCCACATTTTATAATTTAAAGAGCATCTGCTCTGCCTTAATCCCACTATTGCTGCTGTGATTTTATGATACTTTCCCTCAACTCTTCATACTTTAAGTTCAACTCGCCCTTCTAAAATGAATTCTTCCCTTTCAACCCCCTCCTCATCTTCATATGCATCTAGCTATTCTTTCCAGCTGCCTTCTCCTTCTTTGCTTCCATAAAGGCATCCCCGAGAATTGTCTACTCCCACCAAACTTTATAAATTTCAATCCTGTACCTTCCTCTCTGTGGTCATTACACTGATTTCTGTTATGATCTTGAGGACTTCCATTTCTTCCTAAGATCCTTTTCATCATTATAAGGAGCAAGAGGATGGTATGGGGTGGGGGGAGCATACAACAAAACAACTTACCTTTGCAAGACCAAGGACAGCTAATGTCTTGAGAGAAGGTTTCAGAAGAGATTTCGATGATGGTAAAACAGGAAGAGGATCGCCATAAACTCTGGCTGGTGGTTTGGAAAGAGTTTCAGCCATATCTTTATTTTCAGAATCAGGACTGTTGTCCTCAGTTAAGGTTCCACCTTCTGGTTTCACAGTGCCACGTTTTGCTCTCAGTTAGTAGAAAACAAAGTAAAGAGGACATGAAAATATCTGTCACTTCAAATTGGTGAATAACACGAGAATGGACAAGAATCAGTGAATAATACAAGTCTCCCAATAACTTAAACTTTTTCATGAATTGCCAAGAAGAATGCAGTAGCTTTGCTACGCGTGGTTTCGGGACATTCTAGAAAAGAATTAACAGCTTTAAGGATTACGAGAATCCAATTCGATAAAATCATTGTAATATTCACCATTACAAAATGAGCACCCTTACACAAGGAACACACGCTTTGGAATCTTTCAAATGTAGACTCAAATCTCAGTTATGCCGTTTACTTTTTATTACCAGTCTCCATTTTCTCATGTGGTGAGCAACACAAGAGATCTCATAGGTAGTCTCAAAATGTTACTCGCCATACCTGTAACTGATTAATATCGGGTAAATACTTTACCAAAGTAACCTCAGATACACCTTGAACCCTAGGTAATTAAAAGCATGTTGAAAACACTAACACTAAGAAATTTAAATATGTTATCTTCTGAAATGTTTGCATGATTTATACTGGCATGAACTATCTCTTGTAAGAGAAAATGTACAAACTTACTCTTCAGTAGTATCTTATGTAGGTAAGTTGAAATTGCAAACAGTTTAAGTTGCTTCTGTTTCTCAAAACACTAAAGTCAAATATGACTGTTTAAATGTAGCTCCTTCTGGGACGCCTGGGTGGCTCAGTCAGTTACGTGACCAACTTTTGATTTCAGCTCAGGTCATGAACTCACGGTTAGTGGGGTTCAAGGCACACATCGGGCTCTGTGGTGACAGCGCGGAACCTGCTTGAGATTCCCTCCTTCCCTCTCTGTCTGCCCCTCCCTACGAGCACCTGCTCGTTCTCTCTGTCTCTCCCGCCCTTTCCAAGACAAATACAAACATTACAAAAACATTTAGCTCAGCTCCTTCCAAGAAAGACGAAAAAAGAATAAGAAACCTTGTGGGGCAATGAGTCATGGATGAAAACCACACACAGACAGTAGAATTCTGTAACCAATATGTTGACAATGGAGTTGACAGAAAGTGATGTACTAACAGAACAGACCCTAAAGAAATGTTTTCTGCAAGGAAACATTAGGCTAGGGGTAAACGATTAAAAAAGAGCATGGTGGGGGGAACACGTAGGTGGCT